AAAACAAAAAAAAACTTCTTGTCCCCCTTTTTTTTTGTTGTGTGGGGCACAACCCACCCCCCATTTAAAAAACGAAAAAAAAGGCGGGCAAAAATAATTTCCCAAAAACCGCGGGGAGTTTTAAAAGGGGGGGGGGGGGGGGGGGGAAATTGGCCAGTAGCTGACCGGCGCGTCCCCAGTAACTATCCCACAAACAATTGGGCACATTTCGGCTCCAGTTCTCTCCTCGATTCTAACGTGGCGAATGGGATAAATGAAGAAACACCAAAAACTACAAGCGGCAACACTCAGCAGTTGGCGGGCTCACCTGGAAGATTTTAGCATCCCTCATCAGTTTTTCAACTGGGTATTCCGTGTTAAATCCATTTCCGCCAAAGATCTGGAAACCAAAGGAATACGGGAAAATGTCTCAGCTGGGGTAGAAGCTTAGAAGAGGAAACCACGAGGGGATTTTGCTCTGGACACTTTACTACTCATAAAAGGTTGACTACCCACCTGCACAGCATCAGTCGCACACTTGTTGGCGACATCTCCAGCCAGACATTTAGCTATAGAGGCGAAATAAGTATTGCGGCGACCCTAAAAATACACAAGCACGTTAGAGCTCAATGGATTTTCACTCATTTTCGTGTCGAGAGCTGCCATCCTTGTGTCCGCAACATGGATCGTTCGCTCTGGCTGGGACCAGGATAAACGTGCAAGCACAGTAGTTTCGCATTTTCGTAACCGTTGGTAACCGTTATTTTTTCAAAATTCTGAGGATGCACAGAAAGCCAGAGGTCCGTGTTTTGAGCAATTCCTGCTGCAGCCCCAGCCAGAGCTCCCGATCCGTCGCACTGGCCAAGCGGATCACAGCTTTGGGCAGGAGAATGATTTTCCCTTTGGTATGGTCTATGATCAGCCGTCCCTCTTTGGAGGGGAGAGGGCGGTTATACACAGGCTAGTTTGGTAGAGAAACAACGACATTAGGGAATCACATGCCCAGAGGTTATCTTGTTTATCAAGGCAGATAGTTCTTTATTTTGGCAATCTTTGGGGAAAAAAGGAGGGGTTGAACATTACAGCACATGCTGTACATAAGATTGAACTCACTTGGTCAACCTCCCAAGCCGCGCGGTACGTGGCTAAGCGCGCCGTCTCCACGCCAATGGCCATATCAGCCAACATAAAGCTTACAGCCTGGTGCTGAAAAGGAATTTAGAAAATAAACTGCATTAATAGGCGTCTCTTATTCAATATTTCCCAAGAGTCATTAACATCACTTTTCTCCTAGCGATGTCTCAATACAAAGTCAAGATGAAAGGTTGAAAGAATTACTAAAATGATTGCCTAAGGAACAAGGCTTTGATCTTTCATCAAAATTTTCTTAAGATATTCGATAAGGAAAGCTATGAGATCAGTCTAGAGCCCGAATATGTATATGGATAGCGGGGCTTAAAGCGTTATAAAATTTCAATTGTTGTTTTGGTTAAAGGGGCTGAGTCACGGCAGTCCAGTTCACTTTGTTTAATTTTGCCAATTACTCGCCTTTAATCGCTATAGAACTTAAAGTGAGCAAAGAAATTACATGGAAATGACAAAATCAGAGATCCGTGACAAACAAATATGTCTCCTTAGCATTATTTTTGAAGTTGCAAACAGCAGAGATCAACTTTGAAAAACTGTTAGGCTGAACAGTTTTCAAAAACCCTAATTTCAATCCGTTTCAATCTTCTTCAGTTTTGCCTATCCGTGGCATCTGTTGTATCTGTTGTGCTACTTTAACTTTCCTTTAAAGTTTTAAGCGGTTATTTTTACGTTTCTCTTAATTTAACAGGCATTT